TCATTTCCTGCCTGACTATTAAGCTACTCCCTCCTCAGAGTCTTTGATTCCAAAAATTTCCTTTGGAATTATTTCTCCATTTTGTCATTAGATAGAGCATCCTCTGTTGTCTTTGCTTCTTTAGATATAGAAGCTGTGGATCAGAATATCTTCAGCTGAGAAAATGAACTGTCATTTCCTGGTGGGCAGGTGCTCTGCCTATGCAAATTTTGCTGTGGGTGGAATTAATCTCTGCATATAGTAGAAATGTGTATTTGTAGTAAGTTTTTTGGTAACAGCCTTCCAGTGGAAAAAAAAATGATTAAAATGATATATTTCAATATACAAAAATTATAACACATATGCTGAATTTTCTTTTCCTTTACGGAGGAAAGAAAGAGGAGGTACTCAAAAACTCAGTCTGATAGCTTACCTGGGAATCTGATAGGGAATCCTTGAGCTACCAGCTCAGGAAGCTCCATCATATCAATGGTCAGGCAGAGTCAAACTCAGAAGGGTCTTTCTTCTGTGCATTTTATCCTAAGGAGATGGTGAGACCTGAACATCCAGGATCTCTGCATAACTCAAAATGTTGCCATTTGGGGAGATGTAAGTTTTGACAGATGAGCACTTTGGAATCTGTAGCAATGTTCCAGGCATCTTTAAGGGCAGATGAGCTATATACAATGAGACTGTAAACCCTAATTCAGAGCAGTGGGTTCAGGCCTGGAAGAAGTTGCCTTGATGCAAATGAAGCTTTACCAGCCCATGTCAGGTCATGCCTGACTATCAGCTTCTATCCAGTTGTAGGAGCCTGTGCATTTTACATGTCACTGTTTGCTGGCTGTAGCTATTGTAACAAGTTAAATATACCCGGCACCAAATTATATGTACAGTGTACATATATTTCAGTTTTGCTTCCTCATTTTGGCTTATTCTTAAATGAGCGCAAGCAGTACCTATTAGAACCTGGCCAGGTACTGCTGATGCCAAGAGGATTAAGCAATTGCCATGCCTTTGTAAGCTACCAAGTGCTACAGTATTCATGTTTATTTTGCTGCTAAAGGAACAATTTTCTTTTTTTTGCTTGATGTTACATGTCAGCTTTTCAAGGTTTGTATTACTACAAAATATATAGAATCAGTATTCCCCCTCAAAAAGAATTTTTATTACCTATAATATTTTTGCTATGACTAACTGTACTGCAAGCTGTATTTTGAAGAAGATCTGAAACAAATATCAGCAAAGAAAAAAGCAGGGGAAGATAATTTACATGTACAGAAGCTTTGCATGTGGGATTGATGGCCACTATGCATTTAGCCAAGATCTTTAGGTGCTAACCTGGATTTCTATTTAATGGTTGTTTTACTGATGTATTGATGGGTTTCATCTGTTATTCTCATCAGAACTGAAAACCTTCTCAGTAAATGCCAGCATTCCTATAAACTAGATGTGGAGAAGCAGGGAAAAAAAAAAAGAAAATCCAGTCATGTCAAAAAAAATGTACATGTGTGCTGAATTTCAATTAATATCACTGATTACCTTTTACTCACTCAACTCAGATCACTTCCTACTGAAGTCTTTGCTTTAGAAACTCAGGGGGGAGTGTACTAGTTGTTAGATTACCTCAGTCTCAGTTTTCTGGATGTTTTGGGGGCTGAATAAAAATCCTCATCAGTTGTTTAGGCATAAAGACTTCAACAGGATCATCACTCATCTGTTCTTATCAACCTTTTTGAAACTTCTTAACCTGGAACTCCAGAGAAGTTAAACATGAGTCACAGAGACAGGACGCGTTCATAGCCTTGATGAGGACCTCAGGGCTCATAGGCTTCCTCAGGGCTTGCATTAAATAATCACCGAACTTTCTGTAGCTTTGGGATCTGTTTTGTATGTCAGTGAATGCTGAGTGAATTGTTGCATAAGTTAAATCTGGCATTGTCATCTAACACTTTACTTTCAGCCTTACATTAGTTTTTTTTTCTTAAGATTCTGTTGAAGGCATTGTGATGAATTCTTAACTAGGCAATATGCGTTGTCCTGAACTTTCCTATTTGTAAAAGCATTCAGACATCCATGCAATATACATGGCTGAAAGCAGCACAAGTGTAATTAGTTGCAGACTTCAGTTTCCTAGTACAGTTTGAGGAAAATAAGGGATTTTCCTTTGGTAAATCCCTTATCATTAATCTTTTACAAAAGTCGTTCCCAAGCTGAAGTTTTTCAGAAGATTTGTTTGCCATGAGGAGAGAAGATTTCGTGGGCAAATAAGTCATGTGAAAGAATCTGCAAAATTTGACAGAAATGTTTGACCAGTGTAATTCATTGTTGCATGTTTGTTCAGGCTACTTGTCCCACTCTTCCAAGAAGCTGCAAAGAAAAAGCTTTTCAGGACTTTTGAGACTATTACTCAAGATTTTTGTCAGTATAGTTTTATAAGAAATAGAAGTAAGACACTATGTAGGCAGAATAGACAATAAAAACTGAATAATGCTTAACAGTAACAGCAAGTCCACAGAAACAGTAGTCCCTTCTAGAAACAGAAAAATGAATTCTGCTAAATTATCGTCCTGTTACTTTTCATGTGCAGCATATATTGATCTTTTCAAATGCCTTCTTTCCTTAACAAAGAGTCTTTTTGAGGAAAAAGAGAGTGTTGTTCTACTTCTGTAGATTATATTCTGTTAACTTTTTTTTTTCTGAATTATTTGTTTTCATTTATTTTATTCCAAAAGTGCGTTGTCAAAATAGTATCATTGAGATCTTCCATATGCTGTGAAGGTACTATTACAGGAGGATGATGGCAGCATAATTACATGCTATATCTTCAGTGATCTGATGCTGGCAGAGTTGACGATTACTTCAGAGTTTCAAATTAATCTGAATGACCCCATCTTTATTGCTCCTGAATTTCTGGAAATGATGAAATACCAAGTCATTGAAAATAACTGATAGTGGCTAAACAATCTGAAAAGAGTAAAATGTTTCTTTGACTTCATCTAAGTCTGGTATGCTTTATAGATAGGTATAATATTTTATAGAGAAATGTTTGCTTTAATGAATCTTGAGTTGTCATCAGTTTTCTAAGAAAACTAAGCAAAGTTTAAGCATCAGCGAGACAACAAAGGAAAATATTTTATGCTCTTACATTTTATATTCAATCAAATTTGATTGTAAAGAGCAAACACTACAGCAATGAACCCTGTAATCCAACATAAGTGTCTGTCAAAGATTTAGGCATAGGAATAGAACTAAGTTGTGGAAACATAAAAATTTAAAGTGTAAGGAAAATCCTCATGTGTCCTTTTGCCTGGCCTCTCTTTGGAATAACTTGTACAACAGAGACCCAGCAATAAGCATGCTAGTCAGTGGTATTAAGTAGTAGGACGATCTGTGTTTCTATGTCCTGTTTAACACTTTAAGCTTTTATTCTTTAGACAGAGTCATTGAAGTACTAGTGAAAAATAGCTGGGCTGACACTACTTAATAATTATTTTCCTCATAGAGTTCTTTTCCATCTGTTAAAAAACGATGAAGAAAAAGAAGAGTTTTCCATAGTAGGTGCCCTTGGAAAAAAATGCTGAATTATAATTGCCCAACCTTTAGCAGCACAGTTGATGAATGCTACAAAGATGCACATGATAGTATCCAGATGTGGATGCTGACACAAGTGAATTTTTTGCATATGCCCTTTTTCAAACAAATAAAGTTTTGCCTTCATATATACTTTGCATACTCATGAATAGAGGGAGGAAGAAGGAAGAGTAATTTTTTCAGAGACATTCGGGGAGATAATTATGCAGACACCATAGTCAAAATAGTGTTTCTAGCTCAGAGAGGAGTAAGTTTGCTCCTAATCTTGCAGTACTACTGCTATTTTTCCTTTCCTCAGAAACATTACAAAGCTGAAGAAGCTGACATAGCATGCACTGTAAGGAGATAACAACAAGGAGCTGTGTGTGCTGTTTAATTCAGCAGCTGGATGTGAAAGTCATCTATCCTGCTGTTATATGAGATGCAACTTCTCAGGGTTTGTGATTTTGTGAAGTGTGACTGAACTGAACTAAAAGGGGAAAGCGCTGAGTGCCCCAGTATGCCTCCTCCATGAAACAAAGCTACATGAGAGAGGCAAACTTTTTAGGCAGCAATGCAGTAAACTAAATCAAGATGTTATAACCTGAGGCCTGTTGCTGATGTTGTTAAAGTCAAGATTGATTCAAAGTTGTTCTGACTTTTTTTTAAGCTATTTTAATGATTATATCTAGCATCTTCCTCATATACTCTTTTCCATGAATTAAACCATTTTGTCTTCCCATATTAATTGCTAATACTTATAAAAATAGGGAAAATTCATCGGCTTTTCTCTTTTTTAAAAAATATTATAGTTTTAAAAGTGTAAGTTATAATTAGTAGCAATTAAACAGAAAAGCGTGCAGAACTAGAAACACGTTTCCTACAAAAATTTTAGTAAGAGTACCCTCCGGTGGCTAATTTATAAACAGCACTTTTCAATTTCTTCCCTCCCCACAAGGTGTTGTTTGTGGAATTTTAATACTGAGTATTACACTAATAGATAAAAATCCTTGTTCATTTGATTTTTCTTTGCCTATTTTCTCAGACAAAATAAAAATACAGCAGCTGAAAATTATGTTAATGGAAACTGTTAGGTTTGTATTAAAAGGAGGAAAAGGCTTATAAACATGTACTGCCTGCAAGTAGAATTTAAATCTGAAAGAATCAACTATATGAATGACATTAACAATAACTATACAGACATACAAACAGACAGACAGACAGGATGAGGCCCTTACAGTTGCATTAGTCCAAATCTAGAATGCAAGTTAGCATGTTGACTGGGCAAAAACCTGCATATCTTTTTCTAATATTCTGTTGTTTTGAAATCATCATGTTGTTTTAAGCTTTCTGATTTTAGCCTATTTTTTCTTCTGAACAGGCTCCCTGCTTTTTATTAGGTCTACTGTGCTGTATGTCAAGAATGACTGTTTACCACTTTTTCACAGGTATCTTCCATTTGAAAGTACCTGAATCCTCACATGTTGGTTCAGCTATTGGAAGGATCAGAGCTGTGGATCCTGATTTTGGGAAAAATGCTGCAATTGAGTACAACATCGTTCCAGGAGATGGAGGAAATTTGTTTGAAATCACAACAGATGAGAACACCCAGGAAGGAGTGATCAAACTGAAAAAGGTATGAGACTGCAGTTTAAGTGAAGTGAGAAGTTAGGGGAATTCAATAGTGTGGGATTATACACACACAGTAAAGGGTCTCTGTTAGAATCCACAGTTGTGATCTAAGCCTTATAAGAAATTGGAATGTTGTATTTTATTTTATGACATCACAAATTATGTTAGTTTCACTTGTGGAGAAGTAATTCTTAACTCTGTTACAAGGTGTAATTTCTCTTTTTTTTTTTTTTCTGTCAGAATCCTGTTAAAAATATACTCACTCAGTATGAAGGAAGCCCAGATATATGCAGATCCATGCTCTATCAAGTTGTCAAGTGTTCCTATAAGGCAGCCTCTCAGCTGGTTATATTGCTGTACTTAGCTAGAATAAGCTCAAGATTACTGAATTTATGAATTTCTAGGGTAGAAAGAGTGAGCATTATTTTGGAACTGGATGATCAAAGTACTCAGCAGAAGATTCCAAATAGGGACAATCCCATTTTAAATAGTGGCAGTCTTCAGAATCTCAGCCTTAACATATGTACACCAGTGACCAACTTCTTGAGTAAAAAGAAAATAGAAACACTGGCTAGTTTTGAAGGCTGGAGTTGCTGTGCATTATGGACAGTAAACTATTAAGGATATAATTTTGAGTAAACTAAGCAAACTTTGGAACTGAACCCTTTTTGAGGGACTGGGCGTAATTTTAGGGTCCTGGTTGATATCTTGTCCAAAAGTAAGGAATTCTGAATGTGTGTAATTAAACAACGTATAGGAAATGAGAAACTTGAATTCCAGTAAACTAAAAATCTAGGTGCTTTAATATCCCTCCAAATCCAGGCAGAGATCAAGATTTACTTGCTATTCCTTCTAATTACCAAATTTCTGGCTTCAAACTCTTGATCTAGGAAATAGCAAATTATTCACAAAAACATTAAAAGGCCAGAAGATATCACATCATTTATCCTTTTGCCATCTTTAGCGAAATAAAACGGAAGCTTGTGTGTCAGTGCGAAGTTATTTGCCAATGAGACATAAATACAACTCTTCATATATACCCTTCATTTTTGTCTAAAAGTTTGAATATATTGTTTACTCTTTGTGTAAATTAGTGAACTGCTTTATTTTTAAAAATCATTCTGATCACCATTTTCATCCAGGCAGAAAATTCAGGAACAAGAGCTTTTGGAAATGTCAGACTTCACATTTATGTGTCCCTCAGAGTGCCTTGTCAATTGGAAATGGGGATGAGCAGAAACCATTGAAAAATGAATGTTCAGCATCAAAAGCATCGAAAGTATCAAAAGTTGATAGGATTCAGTTCTTGATTGCTTAATCCTAAACCTCAGCTGTGAAGCAATGGAATTGTTACAAGTATATACACACATTTATATAGAGAGACTGTATAGGCAAAAATATTCAAATTGACAAGAAGTCAAATAGGGTACAGGATACGTAGAACTTCTGCTCCCAGTGAAGACCATCTAAATATAGATTTCACTGATGCAACCACCAGAGCCAACACAGACACAATGCTCAGACACTTTTGAGAGATATTTTTTGTCTAATTGAACCCTCCAATTCTTTAAAGTTACTGATGCTGTTTGGTTGTATTTATTTAGTCATTTGAAGTAATAAGACATGCTTTATCCAAAACTTTAGGAATCTTTTACAATAGCTAAAAGATCCTGTAATTAACATGAGGAAAACTAAATAAAATCCTAAGCTCTTCTTAATCTTCCTCATCACAAATTGCCTGAGGACAGTGTCTTTGAAGGTCAAGGAGTGCCAGCTCTGTCATATGCAAGAGTGCAAAAAGAAGATAAACCCAACCTGCAGGTCCTCCGGCAAAGAAAGCCTTTATAAGTACCCTGATCCTTCACATTGCCCTTCACAAAACTTTTCTCAGGGAAAAGTACTGTTCAGTAAGCTTTGAATGCTTCAGGTGTTTTAAGACATTTTGAAGTCATCCATCAGTCTATGTTCCATGCTGAGTCTTAGAGTTCAACAAAATGTGTGTTTTTAAAGATATTGTGAATTCAGTTTGCCTTTCATATTCTCCACACTTTTAATAAAGTACATATATTTTCTTGAGTTGTACTTTTCACAATTTCATAGACATCTATAGAAATGCTTACTACTCACTCTGCTTGTCTGCAGTAAGCCTATTCACTTGTCTGCACAGAAACACTTTCTGAAAAAAAAAAAAGGGAGAAAGACAAATTGTCATATTTCACATTACATGGTGTTCAAAACACTGATTTGTTCAGGATACATTAAGCAAATACATCAGTTAGGTATGTACTTAAGTACTTCTTTAATCAGGGTCTGTGAATGAGTAGAGCCAACACTAAGAATTATGAATTATAAGTAATAATCAGTCAAAATCCTTAATAAAAATCATGCCATGCTTAAAAAACAAATTTGCACTTCTTCCTGTATCACAGCATATTCTCACACTGTAAGCACAGCAGCAACTCAGCACTGAACCATTTCAAACACATCCTTGCCGTTTATAAAGCTTGCCTTTATTTTTCCTGAAAAATTGCTTGCAGGCAGAAACTGTCAGTCTTTACATGGATACTTTTTTTGTTGTTGCTATGCAAAAAGCACGATGCCACCTCTCTATCAAAATTAAGAAAAATGAAGTCTTGCTGGACTAGATTTGTTTTGGGGGAAAGATACATATGTTGACAATAAATACACAAGCCAAATTGTTCTTTCCAGGACACTAAGTGAATCCGCAGAGACAAAATTTTGTCCATACTAAATGGGTATGACCAGCTTAAACTGGAGATGGTGAACCATCTGTTTTTTGACTGCTAATTTGTTTTTAAGCTATGATCCAATATAAGATTTGTTACTACTGTCTTGTAATATACACATATTAAAAAAGGAGTCGATTTTCTTACATTCTGCCAGTCATATAATCCTAATGCCATTTAGCACCACTCTGTGGTTAGTAATATAATCATGCCTCTGCCTCACAAAAAGGACAAAATTAGTAAAAGGAGGGAGGAATGTCTGACTTTAGGATAGTGCTGCATACAGTGTTTATAAGAGTAAAAAAAAATTGTATATTAGGCATAGAATGAACTTCTTTATTTAATACAGTATTTTTCAGGTTTTATATTTATGTAGTCCTTCCTTCCTTGCTTCAGCAAACTGTGAGTACGACCAACAAGAAGCAGGATGACATAAGGGACCTTCTGCTTCTGGCACAAAAAAAAAGTAGATTTTCCTGTTCTCACTGTGTCCTGAGCATTAGTGAGTGTTTGACACTACTTTTGTTATACTAAGGATGAATTATAGGCTTAGGTCTGGTGTGTGCAGAAGCCTCTTGACTGGCTCAGCAGGAGCTAATCCAGAAGAGAGCTACTGGTGCTGGCTCAGACCTTATGAGCATGAGCACAGCGCCACTGTCCTTCATGAAGCTCCCAGCATTCGAATATTCAACCTTATTATTTTCTTTCCTTAGTTGTGCAGTCAGTGCTTGAATGGCTGTGGGGGGGTTAGCTACACTAAGAGATTTTTCAGATTTCCTCTCCAATCTATGCTCCTAGATGGAGCATTAAAGGCAAAGAGTGTGTGACATAGCCTGCTGTTTTCAGTAGGCCATGCTCTGCTGGCTGTGATTTAAAAACTATTCTTTCTCTCTACAGAAATCCATTTACATTTTTTCCAGTAAATTTAATATTTCATCTTTATACATAATATATACGACTTACAGTATCAGGTTCTTGCTTTGTCTTACCTTCCTCTGCCCTCTCCCATACGTTTCTCACTCCTTGAAAAACAAACTGCTCTCTCTTGAAAGAAAAAAATGATATGTGACACAGGCACAAAGTTTGTGGGTTTTTTTCTTCATATAGGAATATAAACATTTCCTCACATTGCCAGGTTAACTCACAGAGTCACAGAACAGATGAGTTTAGAAGGCACCTCTGGAGACCATCTGGTGCAACTCCCCTGCTCTAGCAGGGTTGCCTAGAGCAGGCTGCAGGACTGTGTCCCACCAGAATCAAAAATCTTCAGGAATGGAAACTCTGCAACCTCTCTCACCAACCTGCTTCAGTGCTCAGTCCCCTTATCGTGAAAATATGTTTTCCCATGCTCAGTTTGTGCCTGTTGCTTCCTGTCCTGTCACTGGACACTAGGAAGAGTCTGGCCCCATCTTACAACCTCCTAATCAGAAGTTTTTCAAGCCTGGTAGACACCCCTTGAGATCTAAGCTGCAAATTTCCAAGTGAAAACCTGTGTATGCTTCCCACCTTGGGAATATTGAGTAACTCTTATTCCCAAAGTGCCTCTCTCCACCTCTTGCTCACAAAGAAGATAAACATTCAGTACATTTAATTTTTCACTTTCACTCAAGGCAACCTGTCTTGCCCCTCATCAAACTACTCCTGTTTTCTGATATCAATAGCAAACAACTATTCCCTCCAAAAGTCATATCCAATGAGAATCTCATAGCAAAATGTGGCTCTTCTCCTGTTTTATATTTGGATCATGAATATTTGTATCATTAATGAAATCACTTTATCTATTATGTATGCATAAAAAAATCAGAAACGTCTGGAGTTTCCAGTGTGGGCCTCCTTGTGAAGAAGAATAAGCTGACAGTGTAGCTATTTTCCCATTCTTTTCATGCTTCTCATCAGAAGAATGAAATTATATTATATCATTATATCTTACAGCATTTTCTTCTGATTCAATTATTTAGTTTTTATTAAGAGTATGTATGTAAGTTTATATATCTAAATATAAATTTAGATACAGATAAGTCTCCATATATCAGCATTTCTTTGATTCTGTCTTGAATAAAAGGGACAAAGGAAGATTTCAAAATACATTTATTTCCAAACCTGAGCTGTTTATATGCTTTCTGAATCATACTGAATAAAGCAGTTCTTGGTACCTCCTGAATTGCAAGATAAAAAGTGATGTGTCATTATGTGTTATTTGATTTGGGGATTTGTAAAATGCCCTTGCTATACACAGCTGTGTACATGCTGATAGTGCTTTACTATGCATCTATATAGAGAAACTTATATCCACAGCATAGAGAAGGATGATAAGAACTGGTAGGGGAGCTGAGTACATCTATTCGGACACTGACACTTAGAATATCAATTAGAAATGCTCCTATAATAGCTGAGTAGCCCATGGTTAATAAAAAGGTTCCTTAGCATTAGCAAAATTGCTGTTTGCTCTGTAACAACACTGAAATGTAATACAATTATTTAAACCTTACTTGAACCTTATTTGAACCTTTTAAAATAAATTTACTTTTTAATTGAAAAAATATTTCTATTGGTTAATTAAAAAGAACTTTATGGAATCATTCTAAATTAAGATCCGATTAAGATCTTAATTCTGATTAAAATCTGAACTGAAAGAACTTTCAGTAATCTTACAGATTCTTTTAAGCAGCTGACTACCTAACATTCTGCTATTCCCTAACATTGGTAAGTTTAGCAGTACTTGGGTTTTTAAAGGCAAATGGGATTGAGCAGCTTTGGACTTTTACCACACAGCAGTAAAACATGTAAAAAACAAAAACGAACAAAAAAAAATTTTGGCAGCTAAAACATTGTGTGGACCACTCATTTCCTTCACAGATCTGAGTAGTATCTGCGTGATATTCATAAAGTCATACAAAGAAATGGTATTCCATGATTGTTAAAACTAAAAATTCAAAAGGTCTTGTCCGAGAACCCGTTAGACTTTCGATCTTTCTGTTTTCAGGTGGACTCCAGACACACCTGATGAATGCCAAAATCTGAGACTGTCAGTAATTATTTGCATGACTTAACTGTGCAGATTTACTGTTTGCAACTTATCTATCTGGCCTATCCACAAATGTTTTGGCTGCAGTTTAGCCTCACATATCTAAAGACTAACTTCTACTTCTTTGTGGGAGATTGTCTCTGCTTACTTTCTCTGAAGAGAGGTCAGAGCTTGCCGCCTGTCTTATCTTATCTAGAGCGTAATCTGGAAGAGAGCTCGCAAGTTGTGTATGTATACAACTACATATATTGCAGGCCCTCAGAATAATACAAAATTACAGCCAAGTGCCTGCAAGCCTGACTTGTTTCTGCATGCAGATTCAGATTTATCTGTTTTTTGCGTGGTGGGAGATGTTTGTCACAGAGACAACATGTGCATTCAGGTTGTGTTGCCTGATACAAAGCCTGATGTGATGGGTGAACTCCAAGTGGGTGCATGCACATGTCGACCAGCTCATTAGTTACCATTTGGGTGACAGCTTGACTGCTGCTGCAAAAACAACTGCATACCTTTGGGTGTTAGTCTGCAAACCCTGGCAGTCAGGGATGACACAGATGCAATAAGTCTCAGGAAATATGTTTCATTTGCATTCTTAAAAGCTAACTGCTTCATCTGCATTCTTTAAAACTTCTAGTCCAGTCATGAAACTGAAATTCTTAATGGATTTTACTGGGAATTCTGTGTCTAGAAGAGTGGTTGCACGTGACTGTGGATTGGTTACTAGATTTTCAAGCCTGAGCATTTTCATGGGATGTAGAGTTCGATGTCTAATTTTAAGTCCCCAGTTCAGGAAATATTGGCCATGTAGTCTGTAAAAATTATAATGTCTTCCATAAAGGTTTAAGACTATTATGCTGACTGCTCAACTAACGTAAATCAAGGTAACTCCATTGATTTTAATGGAACTACTCCAGTTTACACCAGCCAGGCGTCTGATCAATTATGTCTTGCTGTGATAAGGACAGAAAATGGCATAACTTAAAACTATGCTAGCTATGACAAATGACTGGAAACGTTGAGGTAATGATGGTTAGGAGAAAAAAAAATGGAGCAATATTAACCTAATCTTGCTCCTGTGACGATGGTGCACGTCGTTCCCGGTAGCCACATATCTTTCCAGTAGGAAAATTTCTTATTCGACAATTATAACCAGAACCACTAGATGCCAGTATTACTCAGCCATCAAGAAAAGAATGCTTCAGTAACATAAAAAAAACGTTTAACGCCAATGCAGCTAAACCCTTTAACTGAAAATAAAGCTTCTATGTCATTTCAACTAAATATGACTACATTAAGGTTTAGAGCTGATTACTTTTGTAAAATCAAAGACACTAAACTGATGTTCATTGACAGAAATCCAAAGCAAAACAATCCCATTGCAGAATGTATTTCCATCAGAAAGAGGGATAGCACAAAAGCTACTCTGCTGTGTTCAAGACCATATGAATTACAGCTGGGATCGTAAAGCAGTGTCTAAGTCTCTGTTTGCAACCTGTGTGGTATTCATACATCCTGCATGAATAAATTTTCCTCTTTAAAGATAGCCATTTTACAGGAAAACATTGATTCAAATCAGTTTTCAATTCAGATTTCCAGCTGCACCTGAAATTTGGTTTGCCTCCTTATTATACATCATTGGTATATAGCTTCATCTGGGCTCATTTCCATCACAGGTGTGTTTCTTTGAAAGCTTTCCCTGCTAAAAGAAGTACAAATCTTCTGTTTAAGGAACCAGATTAGTTGGACGTGGTTGATCATGCTGCAGGCACAGGGGAGCTGAGAAAGCATTGCTCTGTCTAGCCTGCCCAGAGTTCATTTGCAAGAGGAGAATCTCACCCATTTAACTCCAGACATCTACAGTATAGCTGTCTGTAACCCTGTCAGTCATCCTGACTGGTTAATGTGGAAAAATAGTCAATTCCTGGGGGTGACTTTTCTGGCACATTTCAGATAACCACTTTAGCAAGGATGAACTGCAGTCTGAAGATGTCTGTTCCTCTCCAGTGGCCACAGAAGAAGCTTAGATGATTAGCTCCGCTGCTGAAGTCTGCACTGAAGATGTTGTAAACTATGTCAGATTAATCCTGCCAAGCTGATTTTGCAGTGTTAATTTTTAGTTAGACCTGACATTTTGCTTTTGCTCTTTTTACAGCCATTAGACTTTGAAACAAAAAAGGCATATACCTTTAAAGTTGAGGCCTCCAATCTCCACCTTGACCATCGATTCCACTCTGTGGGTCCATTCAAAGACACCGCCACTGTGAAAATAAATGTGTTGGACATGGATGAGCCACCAGTTTTCAGCAAGCCTGTGTACACGATGGAGGTCTATGAGGATACTCCTGTGGGGACCATTATCGGTGCAGTGACAGCACAAGACCTCGATGCTGGCAGCAGTTCTGTAAGGTGAGACTTGAGAAGACTTTTTTTTTTCTGTCAGTATCTTTCACACAACTCAAACTCCTGCTGGCAGTGAATGTAGGCAGTAAAGAGCTTGGAACGAGTATATAAAATGTTCCAATCTAGTTACCATAACAGATAGCTCTTGCTCTGTAAAAATATTGAAAAGGATGCTAGTCTAGGTGGTTGTCTGGCAAGATGTATAAAGTACTGACAGCTAAGGAGGATCATGGAAATTACTTTATACTGACATGACTTCAGATAATATGAGACTGAGGAAATAAGAATACATGTCTGTCTGGGGCCTCCGTGAAAAACTGGTTGAAGGTGAAAAGGGAAATTGTACCTATATCTCTATTACACATCACCAGGTGACAGTAAGTGTTAGTCCTTTCACACCAACTATTCCCTCTTCACATGTGGCAAATAACAAATACTGTAATAAATAATTGCTATATCTGTGTTGGCCAAGACTGTGGAGATGTGATTATGGACAAATACTGCACTGCTCAACAGGCTTCAGGAGAAGTCCTGAGTGTAAATCCCTATGAGCACAACCTTCCAATTACTGGTATAGCATATTTTTTTGAAACAAAGCAAGAGGGCAGATGTTATACAAATGTAATGTATCTTTCTTGCTGATATATTTCCAATGACATGAGAAAAAAAAAGTGAACCAGGCATAGATATCAGTAAAGAAAGTCCTGTGCAGACTTAATATAGGATGTAGGGAATCATTACACAAACTTCCATTACCGATCCAGACTGATCTACCTGACTTCAGGAGGCATTTTTCACTCCAGACTATCATGAACAACATATGAGGCAGAACAAAAGTTGTTAATCTTTAAATCAAATGGGAATATGATGGAACAGTGAAATGTCGCTACGGACTACCAAATACATATACAGCCATGCATATAATCACTCAGAGTATGTATTCCAAATGAATTAATTCACTGCAAAATTGATTTGGACTTTTTAACATAATCCATGTTTATTAACTATCTATATTTGGACTCAGTATTTATATTCTCAAAATGTACAATAAACTTGTTAAATGCTATTTGCTAATCATATTCAAAAATCAACAGAGAGTGGGTGTCTAACTCCTGCTCTCCAGTGAAATTTACTGTTAATTATTGCTTAATCCTATTACTAGTTTTGTTTGCTGTGTATTTTTAAACACATCCTTCAATATTTTTTAATACAAGAGTATATTTGACCATGAATCCTTCCCAGACAGGATCAAAACAGTCAGTAACAATGACTAAGTCAGGAATCTTTTTGCTTGGTGGGGAGCCTATGAACATTATCCCCCTGAAGTCAATATTACATTGATGTTGAAAGCTGTGTTGTCTCTTGTGACCAGAGAGCTAGCCCCTTAATTGTATCACTCATATAACAGCAGAGTTATTTGAATGTATAACTTGTCCTCAGTGAAAATTCCTATTTCACAAATCCTAGGATACTAGGAGACTCCATGCTTTAGTTCCTGATCCTATATTTACATCTACACATTAAAATCCCCTGTTTTAAGATGAAGGTGTCACTATACAGAGTTCACTGCAATACTGATTTTTAAGTGGTTTTGAAGTGTTTGTGTTGATCCTGGAATCATCAGTTGGGTATTTAAGTGGACATTTACACATTGAGTCAAAAGATATGACTTAGACCAATAGCTTGTGGAACTTCTCTTGAAAGCTATATCTGTACACTGATTTATAAAATACCTTGGCATTTTAGCCTCACTACTCACTTTTCTGACCATGATGCTTGCAGTATCACAGAGGTGCTTCCTTGGCTCTTTGTAAGGAGTTGCAGCTCATTTGTGTGCAGGGAAAAACATGGACTCTGTCGTGAAACAGGAGTGCTTCCAGATGGATGCACTCCCTCCCACACACTGAGCCACACATTGGATTAATGGGTTTAGGGAGCAGTACAGGTGCGCTAAGGACAAGGACGGTTCCCATAAGCAAGCTGATATGCTGAGGAGTCGGAAATCAGTTAGTACAGCTGTAATACCTCTCATGGTCTGGTATTGAAAGATGTTTTGGTACTGAAATCTCATCATTAGCTCCCCTCATTTAAACCGATGACAAATTTGATTCTGCATATTCAGCTTCATCCCCAGTTCTTAGAATTCAATAAGATACTTACTTAACTGAACTCTGAGCAAGCTGCTGTGTCTTGGAAGAACATATATTCAAATGCTCATTGGTCCAAGTGAAAAAAAAAAAAAAAAGAAGTGTATGTAATGGTAAGCTACATAGGTAGTGTTCAGTATTCTGAGTTTTATATCCTCCAACTGAGACTGAAAGTCAGTGAATGGAAGTTAAAAAACCATAAATTAGTTGGAAAGGGCTGTACGTGATTACAGCTTGCAAATGTACCTTACAGCAATTATGCTCTTTCAGCTGTTTAAATTCTAGCTTGTCTCACAGACGTAAATAATGGCTCCATCAATCCCATCATATTTTGCAGAAGTCTGAATATCTTCTATTGAAATAAGTCTTTAAACAGCCATGGAAAAGAAAGTAATGTTCTTGGAGGCAGCAGCTGATACAACTGACTGGCTGGCACAGTTTGAAATGCTTTTCTCTATAGCAATGTGGCCATTTTGATGCCCGTTACAACCACAACCAAATCAACAATCTGCTAAAACTACAGAGGCTGGGAGAAAAGACAAATTTGCACTGTATGCAACAAAGGCAAAACTCTGGAGAGCAAAGCAGTCTGAAACAGCTCACATCAAAGGAAGCAGCACTAGTCACAGGAACTTAATCAATTTTATCAGGCAAAAACATTAATTCTGTTATGCTAGACATAGCAGAAAGGGGGAGATAAGAGCTAAGAGTGGAGTCTAGATTCAGGTGCTTAGAAAAAGAAAAATGTATCACTCGAAGTCATTAAAAATTCTGCAGTTAATATTCTCCTTCTCTTTTCTGTTTTCCCTATTGCTGGAGCTAAGTTCCCATAGAAATCAATTTTTAAAAGTTTGTTTTGTGGAATGATACTTGACAGAGAAGTAGAAATGAAGAGGCACAGAGCGCACATTCAGTAAGGAAGGGAAATTAAGCACAAGGAGAAAAGGGGCTGCAGGTATTCAGCACCTGCAAGGGTGACTGGTTTTGAAGCTGTTTTGGAACATTACCCCAGTGCACCTGATTTTCCAACTATGCTAAGTCTAGAGTTTATGTCTCTTAAGAGAGCTATTTCGTCCATTCCTATTTTCCTCACATTGCTGCAGGAGATGCTCTGCATAAATGTTAAACTGTGGTCCTATGTGCTTTGTGGCCATTAAAAATCGCAAAGCGCATCTGAAAGGAGCAACAATCTCACGTTCTTCTTGGATACCTCTAGCTTATGATGGTTATAAGCCATGTAGGAGAAACAAGCACCTGTACTCTAGTGTTCATGACAATGCATATAATTTATAAATACCAGAAGTTTTTACTTTAAATTCTTTGCTTCTAGTGAAAGGCATTTTAGAACTTTTTCAAAATCCCTCCATAATTACAAAGTTTGGGACAGTGCAATCCAAATAACAAGAAAGAAAATGTAGATGGAAAGACTGACTTATTGGCAATGATTCCATGAAAAGTAAAGTTTATCTAACGCTGTGTGCAGCTGAAGAACTTTTCATGGATGCCTTCAAATTTCCTGTCAATTTCCTAGGAGCTGTCAAATTTCCTAGGAGATGGTATGGCATAGAGCATGAAAGAATTTTTGCCTCTGATGTGAACTGCAGTTCTAAGTCCAATTACAATGATTTTCATGGGCAGTGCCACAATGCTGCCCTTCAGATCTCCCCTGCTTTGCTCAGGAGTGCTTCCTTATGAACCACAAGAACCACTCAGAGCAGGAAAGTTGTGGGGAACTGCACATTATTTTGTGCAAGTCTACAGTCATGAAACCATGATATTTCAGAATATTTCAGAATATTTCAGAATATTTAAGGTTGGAAGGGACCTTTACAGATCATCTAGTCCAACCTTCCTGCTCAAGCAGGCACACCTAGAGCATGTGGCACAGGGTGGCATCCAGGCGGGTTTTGAAGACCTCCAGAGTAGGAGACTCCACAACCTCCCTGGGCAGCCTGTTCCACTGCTCTGTTACCCTAACAGTAAAGAATATTAAAAACACAAAAATTCAGGTGTACTAGTCAAGCCTGTCCTCCGAATCTTGGGGGCAGGTCTGTATTCCCTGCATGAGGCTCCAAAAGACCAGCCGTATTTGTTTGCTCAACTAGTTTGCTGTAGACCAGAAATCTTTATTTCTAATTCTGTGTTTTTTTGTGTGTATGTGTCGTAGATTTTTTGTTTGTTTGTTTTCAGGACCTGTACCTATGTAACAGGAAACTACTTGACATTTAAGTTCTATATTCTTCATTTATTTCTGCTTGTGTACAATGCTTTTTATAATTTTCTGTTTCTGTAGAAAGAATGATCTCATTCTGTAACAATGTATAACTCAGATTATTAGAAAGATTGATACCTCTAGTTCCAGCACCCCAAACCTCTCTATTTAATAGCTGAGCACATTAGCAGAGGATGAAATGCTTTGCCAGTGGGTTTTGCAGACAGAAAGAGATGGTAGAATGCAGGACGTGGAGGAGCATTTTCATTTGCTTTAGTGAGCTGAACAGACTTTGTGCTATTCCTGCCTGCCTGTTTGACCCAGTTCTAACTCCATACCATCCTCCATACCATGTTTTAACGAAGTCTCAATCTTCGCAACTACTTTTAAAATCTCTGTGTCAAGTTCCAACTCATCCAGCCCAAACAGTTTGAAGTCCTGCACCAGTACCTCTCAATTGCTGCTCCGGACCCCTTCCATGATTTGCAGCTCCTCTACTAGTCCACATATGAGACTTCTTACAAATCCCAAGCTCAGTCAGTCTAATACCAGTCTCCTATTCTGCTGACCATCATTCTCTCTCCTGTAGCTATTTCCTTGCTTTTCTTCCTAAACTACATCCCACATCTTGATTAATTTCTAGCTTT